GCCCCTCCCCTCAATGGCCGCATCCCAAACAGCGTGCTCAGCGCCGCCGGCCACCATTGGGCTGTGGCGGGCGGCGCCGAGTGGGCCTCGGTCGCTTCCTTCTCGAAGCACTCCCTCGAGCTACTGGCCAACGGTGCGCCGGCCCACCTCATCAGCGGCATGCACACCGCCGCCCTCGAGGAGGTTGGCCACGCAGAGGCAGCATACGCGCTGGCCACGTCCTACCTCGGGGTTGCAGTCGGGCCAAGCGCACTCGACACCCGCGACAGCGGCGAGGTCCGCTCGCTCCCGGACGTTGCCGTTTCGACCGCCCGCGAGGGTTGCGTCGCTGAGACAGTGGCTGCCATCGAGGCACAACTCACCCTCGCCGCGTGCATCGCACCGGCGGCGTGCGCCGCCCTCGCCGTTGTCGCAAATGATGAGGCCTCCCACGCCGCCCTCGCCTGGCGCGAGCTCGAGTGGGCCATCGGGCGCCAGCCGTCGCTAGCAACGACCCTGAAAGGGGTCCTCAGCGCCGCAGCAGCCGCGTTACTGGCGAAAAGCGGCGCCTCTCGCGCTGCCGCTGGTGACGATGGCGAGGTCGACGCGGCGGCCCTGGCGGCGCACGGCGTGCCGTCGGCGCAACTGCGTGCGAGGGCAGGCGAACTGGCAGCGACCCTCGTGATCCGGCCGGGCGCAGAGGCACTCCACACGGGCGGCGTCGCTGCGCGGGTTGAGTGGCTTCTCCGTGACGTCCTCGCCGAGGCGGGCGCGGGCCCCGCTTTCGTGACGCCGCAAGTGACGCCGCGCGCCGCAAATGCTACTTGTCGTGTTCAGTCATAGCGCGCGCCTGCCGGTCACACGTCCCACGATCGATTCCGTGTGCGGAGTGGACACGAGATACCCCAGAGACTCAGCAGAGATCTTCTACACACACACATTCTCGTATCTCGTGTTTTTGGGGGTATCGGCGTGCGAGGTGCAAGTGTCGATTTCCAAGCACAACGTCCATGACAACGTCAGGCCTTATACGTCTGGCATCACGTGGCATCTCGCCTCTCGGCTTGGTGTTGGAGCCGCCACTCCCTCACCCACCGCAGGATAGCAGTTCGCTCCTCGCGGCGCACGGCGGCGACGCTGGGGGGGTCGTGCCGGTCCGAGTGGCGCAGATCGAGGTGATGCGCTGCCGATTCTATCGTGCGCACCGTCACCGACTCTGGCGACCCCTCAGGCAACTCCTGTATCCCGGCGGCCCGCCACGGGTCAAGCTGCCCGTTGGTGAGGAATAGGTTTGAGCCGGATGCGATGTGTGAGCCCAGGGTGTGCAGTGCTGTGCGTCTCTATTTTTTTGGAGGCGAGCCACGCCAATCACCTGCGCCGTGGGCATGCCGGAAGTTGAAGTGGTCAACGCTCGTGTTGAACCAGTGCGTCTCCACGGGGTACATGCATGCCAGCGGCGTCATGATTCTTCCGCCTGCTGGCTTGGGCGCGCGCGGGGCCGCCCGCTAGGCTTCGTGGACGCACGAGACGACTCGAACTTCCCCGCGTTCTGTTCATGCCTTGACGTGTGAGCGTAGCGTGAAGAGGCGGTGCCCCTGCGCGTTTCGAATAGGACGTCCGTGCACTCCAAGTCCGTTTCTATCTCGTTCGAACGTTCCCATTCCCTATTAGTTCGCCCGCAGCGCCTGGGCCTGCGCGCACAGGCGCATTTTGTATCCGAGGACCGAGCACAGTGTTGTGTTTTCGATCCGTTTCGTGTCCCCTGTTCCCCTTGACGGACGAAATCTGTGTCGTTTGTGCCCTCTCCTTTCTCGCAGAGTATTAGCGCTGGAAGCGCTGCGGTCGGCGTTCGCTGCGCGTGTCGCCGGCGGTTTTTCAAGTAAGAAGACTCAGGTCGCCGTGAGGTTCGCAAACTCGCTCTCGAACTCCTCGCGGTCTCGCTGGCGCGCGGCACCGTCCAAGCCGTAAGAGTCGAGCCGGATCTGCGCCCGCTCT